GTCTGTGGCATTTGGCAACAACAGCAACAAATCAGCCATGGAAGTTTCTCCATCCCTTTATTTTGAGCCTATGAGTATCATTACATGTGAGATGGGTCTCCTGAAGACAGCATACTATTGAGTCTTGCTTTCATATCCTGCTTGCCACTCTGTGCCTATTAAGTGGGGGCATTTAGCCCATTTGCATTCAATGTTAATATTGATATATGAGGGTTTGATTTTGTCATTGTGCTGTCAGCTGGTTATTATGTTGACTGGTTTGTGTGATTGCTTTATAGTGACACTAGTCTCTAGGTTTAACTGTGTTTTTGTATTAGCTGGTAGCAGTTTTTCCTATTTTTACTGATCCTTTCAAGATCTCTTGTAAGGAAGGTCTGGTGTCTGGTAGCAATGAAGTCCCTCAACATTTGCTTTTATTCCTTCACTTAGAAAGCTTAGTTTGGCTGGATATAAAATTCTTGATTGAGGTTTTTTTTTTTTTTTAGAATGTTGAATATAAAACCCAAATCTCTTCTGGCTTGTAGCGTACTAGTGGAGAGGTCTGCTGTTAGCCTGATGGGGATCCCTTTGTAGATAAGTCACTCTTTCTCTCCTGCTGCCTTTTAACATTCTTTTATTTTGACCTTGAAAAATATAATGATTATGTGTCTTGGGGATCATTTTTTTGTGTAGAATCTATTTCCTGAATTTGACTTTTGGCCTTTCTAGCAAGGTTGGGGATGTTTTCATGCACAATATTCTGAAATATATTTTCCAAGTTGTTTTATTTCCTCCCCTCCAGTTAAAGGATGCCAATTATTTGTAGATTTGGCCTCTTTACATAACCCATACTTCTTGGATGTTTTGTTCATTTCTTTTTATTTTCTTCATTTGTGTCTGACTGTTTTATTTCAGAGAACCAACTATCAAGTTCTGAGATTCTTTCCTCAGCTTGGTTCATTCTACTGTTAATATTTGTGATTGCATTGTGAAATTCTTGTGTTATTCAGCTCCTGTCAGACCCATTAGGTTCTTTTTTATACTGGCTTATTTGTCTTTCAGCTTCTGTGTCACTTTATTGTGATTCTTATTTTTCTTGGATTGGGTTTTGCTGTCCTCCTGAATCTCAATGATCTTTCTTTCTATCCATATTCTGAATTCTATTTCTGTCATTTCAGCCAGTTTGGCCTGGTTAAGAACTTTGTTGGAGAACTTGTGTGATCATTTTGAGGATATATGATACTTTTGCCATTTGAGTTACCACAGTTCTTACATCGGTTCTTTCTCATCTCTGCATGGGGGTGTTCTTTAACTGCAGAGTAGTTTGAGTAGTCAACTGACTTATATTCTGGATGTTTTAACTGGGCCAAGGCTTTGTATAGGATCTTTATTTGAAGCTGACTTCTAATCTCTGGTTTCAGAGGGAGGTATGTTAGTGAGATATTTTTGGTGTTGAAGCTTTGAGATGTAATTCAGCAGGGCAACCCTAGGCTTACTGGCCAGCTGAAGATTCTTGCTCAGTTGTGTGGCTCCCGTATGTTTCCTCACAGTTGCATCTGTGTTTCCTCTCAGTACTCTGAAAGTGTGGGTTCCTTTCCCCCTGAGTGTTGGCTGTAGTTCATGATTCAGCACTCCTGGGCTGCCCACTGCAGCTCTGGGTTTATCTCAATGTTTATGTTCCTTCCTCAGCTTAGAGACAGCAAAGGAAGAGATCTTAGTACTGGTTGTAGCAAAGGGTTATTTGTTTGACTCCTGGGGGCCCCACCTCAGAGAGATGCAGGTCCGCAATCACTCAATGCAGTAAGTGATTGCACTGATGGAGGGTATGTGTTTTGGGTCCAAGCCAGGGGTTCCTTGTCTGGTGATGAGCTGTGGTGGTGGTGGAAGGGGCGGGTTGTGTGGGACCCATGAGAGAAAACTGGCTTCTTTTCCTTGGGTTGACTGCAGATTGTTAGAGGTGTGGATAAGGCACTTAAAGTTTTTGCTTCTTCATTAGTCTGAGGATGGCAAGGGCAGTTCCACTGCAGAGGCAGGGGCATAGAGGCTTTCAGTTGTCCCTGGAAGCTCTGTCTAGGGAGTTGCTGATTTGGTACTGGCTTGATAGCTCTGGCAGGGTAGCTGGAGGCCCAGACCTGAGGACTTTCCTGGTGAGAATACATGGGAATGAAAACCCACGTAACACTCTGGCCACTTTTCCATAGGACTGCTTCTATATGCTTGGGGCCTACTCCAGTACCTAGTGACCTCAGATTTCCCAGAACCTGAAAGTGTCACCAGTGAAGGCTATGAAACAGCAAAGATGGTGGCCTGTCCTTTTTTCTGAGAGCTGTGTCCCAGGGAGGTACGTACCTTTTGCTGGCCCAAAGGCAGCAGTAGGAAAACCCCAGTTGAGAGGTTCCACCCAGTGAGGAGGAACAGGATTGGGATACACTTAAAAAACAGTCAGTCTGGCCAGGTTTTGGTAGAATAGCTGTGCTTTGCTGGGGGTCTACTTCAGTCCCCAGTCACCTCAGACACTTCAAAACCCAAAGGCTGGAGTTGCTAAGTCACCAAAACAGCAAAGATGGTCACTCGCTTCTCCCTCTGGGAGTGCTTCTTAGGAGAATTCAGATCTTTGATAGCTGGAGAGCTTGGGTGGGGGTGGCTGCAGGATCCAGTTGGGAGATTCTGCATAGTGAGAAGGATGGGATTGGGCACCCATCTAAAGCACAGTCTGGCCATGTTTTGGTAGAGCAGCTGTGTTGTTCTGGGTGATCTCTTCCACCCCGGGTCAGCTTCAGGAACAGCTAAGGCTGTTCTTCTTGAAGGCTGGAACAGCTAAGGCATCTGAACAGCAAAGATGGCAGCACACCTTTCCCCTTTGAGCTCCTTCTTAGGGAAGTGCAATGCCGCTACTGGTAGGTGCCTGGAATTCCAAGCCAATGGATCTTATCTTGTGAGGTACCAAGGAAGTGGAGCCTGTGGGTTGCTGCTGCTCAGCCCCCTGGATTCAGCCTCTTTCCTCAGGGGATATACAGGAGTCCAACCTCTAACTTTGCTGTAGCTACTTGTACCAGAAAACCCAAGTATCTAAGCCTCTGAGGTCTTCACACATGCCTGAGTGGCTGCTCTGCCAAGACTCCACACAGCTCTGTGTGTTAGACTGAAGACTGAAGGCCCTGGTGGAGTGGGTTCACAAGGAGATCTCCTGACTTGAGGGTTGCAAAGACCTAATGCTCACCCCTTCTGCTCCTTTCCATGACAGCCACTTACACTAGCTGCTTCTGGTCATCCATCTTGCCCACTCCTCCCCTATTTTTCTTAAGGTTTGAATTGGCATTCTTTTTTCAATTCTTTCAATTCACAGTTTTGTTACTTTATTGTATTTCTTTTCAAAAGATTATTACTTCTGATTTTAGCATTGGCTGCATCTCATAAATATTGCTGTATTTTATTCATATTTACCTTGTATATTAATAGGCAATTTGGCACCTTATACGCTCAGGGGTATTGAAGAAGGGAGGAGGCTTTGATATCTGCAATATTAGTTTGGATTCTGACCCCTTCACTTATTAGCTGTGTTTCTTAATTCCTCTGACCTAAGTGTATTCATCTATCAAGTTGGTATAACAATAAAACTTAGCTCAGCTGAAGCCATTTAAATTCTTTGAACATAGAAAGCGCTCAATAAATAATAATACATAACCATGTATAGTGTTTTTTATATGCCGGAGTCACTATTCTGAGTTTTCCACAAGTATCAACTCACTTAATCAACTTAAACAACTGCAAAATAGATATATAATATCTCATTTTACAGATGAGAAAACTGAGGCACAAAAGGTTGTGTGGCTTGCCCAGTATCACACTTCTTGGGAGTGGCAGAGCCTGAATTTGAAGCCAGGCAGTTGGTCTAGGAGAAAATTTTAAATTATGAAGTATATTGGTTAACTACTGCTGTGTAACAAACTGCAAAATCTGATTGCAACGTTCTTTTATTGTCACTCATGTATCCTCACATCAACTGGAGATCAGCTGAGACTGGCTGATGTAGAGCAGGCTTAAATGTATGACTTCTCCAAACATGACTGTAGGTTAGCTTGTCTAGGTTGAGTTTGACTGAGATACCTTGACCCATGTTTCTTTCCTCTCCTGGATTCAATAAGCTACCCAGTCAAACAAGAGAACATTTTCTAAATTTAATGGGGGAGAAAAAGAAAAGTTTGAGTCTCACAATATCAGATACTGCTATTGGCTGTGAACTTTGAATACCATCTACCATTATAAATTCCCACTAGATGCTAGATACAAGAAATCAAGTCATCAAACTCATAAGTAAATGTCATTGGAGGTACCATATCCTTGTTTCTATCCCACTTCAGGATTAAAATCACCTCCTTCTTCTTTACACTACAGCTGGTGTAGACAAGGAAACTGCCAAAAACTTATTAGATGATTTGTGCTGAGAGAGGTCTTAGACAAACTGCACCTATTTCAGATCGCTCTTTCTTAAAGCCACAACCAGGCCAATATATTGCTTTTTCCCCTTTCCAATGGCAGAACCACTGTGTCTGTTTATTCTCTCCTGTCCAGAAACAGAATAATCAATGGCTAACACCATGCCTTTATTATGCTGTATCAGTATATATGGGAGATGATATTTCTGAACTCCTGGGGGTCTCTGCCAGGCCTCATTTCTCTAGGGGTGAAGTCCTAACTTGAGCCATCTTCTATCTGAGAAGCCACAAGAAACAAAAAATTTCTAAATATTGTTTAATAAATACTTTTAGATAGATAATAAGTGATGAGATCACACCTGATGTAGGGTAAAAATAATGAACCTCCAGGACCTAAACATCCTGATGTCTGCGACATCAAGTCATCTGTTGGTCCATATTGGCATATTTTCTGCATCAAATCAAGCCTTCTTTGTCCAAAGGCAGTAGGAAGTATGAATTCTATTATAGTCCATTCATGGTCATTTTGTGGGTTAAGGGGATTCTGAGAGGCTAAATTTGGCAGAAATCTCAGAATTCGTAAATTCAGCAGCACCTTCTCTTTTGCAACCTCTTAAAGGCATCCTTAATTTCTTTATTCCTCAAACTGTAAATCCAGGGATTTAACATGGGAATGATCACAGTGTAGAAAACTGATGCAAATCTGTCGAAGCTGGAAGAACCACCAGAGCTGGAACTCAAATAAACAAAGAGTCCTGATGTATAGAAGAGGGAAACAGCTGTCAGATGAGAAGCACAGGTGTTGAATGACTTGGACCTGCCTTTAGCTGAAGTAATCTTCATGATGGAGATGCCAATATAGCCATAGGATATCACAATAACTAGGGCACTTGCTATCCCAAAGAACATGGTTAATATAGCAGTCATAACCTGTACAAAGAAAGTATCTGTACAGGACAAGATTAACAGTTGGGGCATGTCACAAAAGAAATCTGATGACATTCGACCCACAGAGTGGAGTTAAAGCAAAGCACGAATTTGGGATAAAGAAGCAGTGAGGCCAGCCACGTAGGCTCCCAGTACCATCTGAACACAGAGGGTGGGTGACATAATGGATGAATAAAGCAAGGGTTTACAAATGGCAGAATAACGATCATAAGCCATGGCCATCATGAGACAAGACTCACTCAGCCCCGTTATTGAAAAGGTAAAGTACTGAATAATACAACCAGTAAAGGTGACAGTTTGCTGTTCCTGTAAGAAGTTGGAGAGCACCTTGGGGATGGTGGAGCTGACATAGCAGACATCTATGAAGGACAGATTACTGAGGAAGAAATGCATGGGTGTATGGAGGTGGGAATCCATCCTTATTATAAAAATAAGGGACAGGTTCCAGGCCAGAGATGTAATGTAGATCACCAGAAATATAATGAAGAACACTGAAATGATTCTGGGAAAATCTGAGGATCCCAGCAGGATGAAATGGGTGATTCCTGTAATATTTCCTCCTCCAGTCATTGGTACTGTGCTCCTAATATCTGAAAGGAGACAAGAGAATGGATTGCTAACTCAAGTGAAATGGTAACATTATCATCTTCATCTTTTCCTCCAATGAGCACTGGAAAAGGAGAAATGTTTTACTGTTCTGGTGGAAAGACCCCAACTTTTATTCTTGAATTGTCAGCATGCACTTGCAAAATGCTTCAGTTTCTTCATTAATTCATAGGGTATCATGAGAATTAAAAAAATGTATTTAAAAAGTTGACTGATAATTTTTAAAAAATATGCCATAGAAATGCTGAGAGTATTATTTATAATGTAAAGATCACTAATTAAGATCATTGTTTTTCTTAAAAAAGACCTCAGATGATTCATTATATAACTGTTGCTTTAAAATTATGAAAGCTGAGGTCAGGTGTGGTGGCTCATGCCTGCAATCCTAGAACGTTGGGAGGCTGAAGTGGGTGGATCACCTGAGGTCAGGAGTTTGAGACCAGCCTGGCCAACATTGCAAAACCACATCTCTACTAAAAATACAAAAATTAGCTGGGCCTGGTTGCACAGGCTTGTAATCCCAGCTACTTGGGAGGCTGAGGCAGGAGAATCACTTGAACCCAGGAGATGGAGGTTGCAGAGAACTGAGATTGTGCCACTGCTCTCTAGCCTGGGCAACCGAGCAAGACTCTGTCTAAAAAAAAATTATAAATTCTTAAATGGCATCCTTCCAAAATATATTTGATGGACAAGAGTCCTGTACTGAATTGTTATCTATGTAGATTTAAAATATTTTTTATTTTACCCTTTAGAAAAATTACTTTCCCTGTTTATAATAACTTATCCTACTTTAAGAAAAATGTATTTAATATAATATATCCAAACTGGATTTAACAATAATATCATAAATTCTGATAATATTTTGAGGCAGACAGAGCATGAGTGTTCAATAAAGTTACGGAACAAGTCTTCTCAGGGAAGCCTTCATACAAAGCATTCCAGAAGGAGGCTAGTGCAGCTCACTCTTGACCCCAACTATTGCCTTAATTTTAGTGTATTTGGGAAACAGCATAGTAATCTGGCTGAAGGTTCAGACTTTGGAGTTTTCGTCCTTTAGTTCCAATACTTTCTTCTTCTACTAACTTGTACCAGTGATGTTAAAATATTAAGCTTGATTTACTACTAATAACATAAGGACAACAAAAGCTTTGAACTTCCCAGGTTACTGGGAAGGTTATAAGCAAAAATTCAGGCAGAAGCTTAGCACACAATTAGGTATGCAGCAATTGTTCAATAGAGGCTGGGTATTGTTATCACGGATTGCTTGCAAATAACCATGAGTGACAGTTATACCTGTGGGTAGAAATGTGAAAAGTATTATTTTCATGGGTTAATTTAAGGGAGTTCATGAGACAGCATCACCCCTATAGACAGCCAGGCATCTTTGCCTCTAGGTAGGTGTAGATTCAGACCTAGTATTTATGTAGGTCAAACCACCTAGGGTCATGAAGATGTAAGCTACACAAGCCATTTTTTCTTCAGTTTGGTTGACTTTGGGTACACTGGGTCAATGGAAAACCAGCATCAAATTATGATATATCTTGAACTAGAGCAAAGGTCAAAGTAAATATTTCAATTCTCTAATAATACAGAGGTACATCCTTTTTTTAAGGTAGATATGATCAGCAAATTAGAGCTTACCTACAGACTTACAGTATTAGGTTGATGGAAAAGTAATTGCACCAACCAAAGGTATGCATAGATAATGTACACTCACTCTGCTCCATACTCAGACTGTCCTTTCTTGAGATCAAATAACAAACCAATGATAATAGCTAAGATGATTTTGAAGAAGATGAGTAATTAAAAAGGATTTTAACTTTCAGATATTAAAAAGTATTATGAACATTGATAATTTATTATTTTTATAACAGACATGTACCGAAAGAACAAATAAAAATTTCATAAATAAATGTAAGTGTTGGTAAGAGTTTTATATATGAAGAAGTATTTTCAATTGATAGTGAAGGAACAAACTCTTCTATAAATGGTCTGTGATAACTGCCTCGCTATGGGTAAAAGAGTATTTGAGGAATACGTAGATATTCATTTATATAATCTTGAGCTGGAAGTGATATTCCTGAAAAATGACATCAAACAGAATTATAAGTAAAAAAAAAGGCAAAGCAATTTAAAACTTGGTTATGAACGAAAAACCCTCATATAAAGCATATTTGAAAGATAATTGATGAATGTGGGAAAAATAGAGATAAAACAGAAAAAGACAAAATAGTTATTATCATAATATATAAGATATTGTATAAATCAGTAAAAAAATGGGTATTCATATGCACCACTGATGAGTGCACAAGGTAGTTCTACTTTTCTGGAGGAAAATTATTTGCTTTTTATAAACTCTTTTGTATACGTGAGCTCTCTCTCCCTCTCTCCCCCCCTTCTCTTTGTCACACACACACACACACACACCCCTTAAAAACCATTTATAATGCCAAACATTAAAAGTAATGGTTGGTATGATTCTGACTTTCTTTATACTTACGTGTATTCTCTTGATTTTCTACAGCTTCTACATTTATGATAAAAATGTTATTAAATGTAAAAATTATTAATAGGGTTGAGAAAGAGGAAAGAGAGATGAAGAGAGAGAAATAGGGGGAGAAAGAGAATGTGAGAGAGTAGACTTTCCTGAATCTTACTTGCTGGATATGTGATGATTAGCACATGATTAACCTCTCTGTGCCTCAGTTGCCTCATCTATAAGTGAAGCTGATAATCCTCTCTAGAGCAATGGTATCATATATTCTTCAGGCAGCTCTCTAGGTTAGTTTAGGACCCACGTAGATTAATGGCTGTCCTGTGGTTAAGATGGCCAGAATTCTTGGTGGAGATGTGGACCACTGGGTTCTCTTGCTTATGATTTCCCTACATTGGGGAGACTCTGCAGGCTCCCAGCTGATCCCAGCTGGGCAGGCTGCCTTGCTTCCCTCTCCTTCCTTACCACAGGTATTTCCTGTCACTTCTCTGTAGAATTCCAGTGTTCGTTCTTAGACAATCTTCTTGAAGTGTGATTATCTACTTGCTATTTTGGTTCTTCTTTATGGTGTAGGAGAGTAACAGATGCCTCTAGTCAGCCATCTTAAAGCCCCTCCTCCTCTTTCCCTCTATTTTTAAAAGCTCTTTCTTCTTTCCAAATTTCAGTTTTCTCACTTTTCTTGAAGTCTATTTTCTACATCATTTGCTGTTTTTAGTATCTTATTTTTGTCCTCATTTCTATTCCCACACAGATTTCATTTTTGTATTTCTGTGGTGTATTTTTTTCTCCTTCATAGCTGACTTATGCCTATGCGTTTTTCATCCTCTTCTGTTATCTTTTCATTTCTGCCTTAAGCTTTCATATCTCTGTTTTAACTTTTGTATTACATATTTTTAAAAATTAACTGTTTTGATTCCATGGCAATATGTAGAAACCTCGTTTTCATCAGCTCTTGGACAACAACTTTTGGTGTGTTTTCTTCATCTGCCATTTGTTTTACTTGTTCCCTTATTTTTCTTTTGCTATTTTTGATGAATTTTTATAAAACATTATTTTGCTTTAATTTTAATTATTTCTTGCTTTCTTTGGATAGATTAAAATTCTTTTTACCTTTTCTCCTTTGCTTGTTAACTTTGCACATTCTATTTCTATTTTTGTAGTGATTACCCCAGAAACTTCATTATTTATCTTATCAAATTTTAACTTTAATCAATATTTTTATCATTTTCCTGTGTGATTCAATGACTTTTGAAACTTTTAATTCTAATTACTCCTTAATTTGTGTATGATTTTTATTTGTATTTTAATTTTATATTATTTTCTTGACACATAAAATATCCTCATTACCAGTTTCATATAATGTATATTTTAAAAATTTATTATATATATTTCTACTTCCTATGCTTTTTGCTCTTACTACATCTCATAAGCTTCCATTTAAAATCACCTTCCTCTTGCTCGAATTACAAACTTCTTCAAGAATGCCCTTTGTCAGTGTCTCAGTTTGGCCTGTCCCAAAACATGTTGTATTTCCCTTCATTCTTCAAGTTAATTTCACTGGGCTGAGACTTTTAGGTGGACTGATTTGTTAATGTGTTGGGGGGTGTATCAATCAGGGTTATTTCCTCTAACTTGAATCAATATTTCACTTGGTTCTGTGTTCAGTGTGGATACAATGTGGTTTATTTCAATAGAAATTGGGATAACAACTGACTTATACAGATTCTAGAATCACCAATGCAATGGCTGTGGAAAGAAGCAGTACAACAATTACAAAGTTTATTCTCTTGGGATTCTCTGAATATCCAAAGCCCACTCTTTTCCTCTTTTCAGTATTCCTCGGGATTTATATCCTGATGGTGTCCTGAAACATGAGTCTCATCCACACTTATCAGGATAGACTCCCATCTGAATGCACCTATGTACTTTTTCCTTAGTAATCTGTCTTTTCTGGACATCTGCTGTGTTTCCACTATAGGCCCCAAGATACCCTTAGACTTTTTCAAGAAGCATACATTCATCTTCTTTGTGGGGTGCACCATGCAGTACTTCTTCTTTATCCTGAATCTGACTGAGTGCCGTCTTCCGGCAGCCATGGCTTATGATCAATATGCTGCCATTTGTGATCCTCTGCTCTACACGGCCAGCACGTCGCCCACTCTTTGTATGCTGATGGTGGCAGGATCTTGTACAACTGGATTCTTGGTTCATTTATCTAACTATGTGTCTTGCTTCTGCTCCATTTCTGTGAGTCAAATAGCAGCCATTTCTTCTGTGACATGTCCCAACTGCTGATTCTATCCTGTTCTGATATCATTTTTTTTCCTCAAGTCATGACCTCATGCTCACAGTAATCTTTGTACTCATGTCTGTCTTGGTTATCATAATATCTTATGGTTATATCATTGCCATCATTCATCTCCTTTACGGGGTGCTCCATGTAGTAATTCATCTCTAGCGTGGGTCTGGC